GCCCCGTCCGACCTCCTCCATTTGGGGGCCTTTCCGGTGGTATTTTTTGCTCAAATGTTTTGTGTAGGTTCCTCATCAAGTCTAGTTCATCCATACCAAATTTCAGCCAAAAATTCAATCGGGAAGGTCGTCAAATGAGTCGAACTTGATCATCATTGATCAAGAAAAATCAATATGACTAAGAATGTTTTTACTCGGACTGTAATTTGCTGGTCTGGTCTGTTTAAGTCTGGTTTGGTCTGGTCTGGTCTTGTCTGGTAATGTCTGGTCTCTGTGTCTTTTATAATTACGGATGTCTGGTCTACTTTGGTCTGATTTGTCCTGGTCTGATCTGGTCTGATCTGTTTAAATCTGGTCAGGTTTGATCTGGTCTGTTTAAGGATGTTTTTTTTGGACTGTTTTCAGTCCCAGACCAGACTAGATCAGACCAGACCAGACCAGATTAGACAAGACCAGACTTGACTTCCGTAGTTATAAAATACACAGATACCAGACATTTACCAGATCAGACCAGACCGGACCTGCAAATTTCAGTCCAAAAGATAACATCCTAAGTCCAATCTGGTCTGGGACTGAAAACAGTTCAAATAAAAACATCCTTAATCTTATGGACATGGAATATAAAAGTAGGAATTAATCGTACTAATTGCTTAATTTCGAAAATAAAATCTGATTAAAAGATTTATGCAAAGATACATTCTCCGTACTTAAAAAGATGTGGTCTAAGACTCAAAAGAAGAAAGATACGTAGTATATTCTAAATTCATATTATTATTATTTTTGAAATCAAATTCATATTATTTGTTGAAGATTGAAATTACGAACTACACGTCTATACTTTAATTATACATATGATGATACGGGCTACTAATCTATATAATATAATACAGCAAACTCTTAGAGACCTCCATGTAGAAGTGATTGACATGTGGCAACACTCATTATAAGAAAATTTGACATGTGGCATACATGACATAAAATATGTACTAACATTTATAAGCATTTAAAAGGGTAAAGAAAAATCTATTCAACTTCCAAAATTTCACATCTATATTTATATAATATATTACCTCCGTCCCAATGGACTTTGCATTAATTGAGTTAGGTGAGAAAATAAGAATAGTAAAAATTGTATAGTTGAAGATTGTGCAGAGGACAGAGATATGAGGAGAACCACAAAATAGTTACTTTAATGGGAAAGTGACAAAGTTTTTTGGGGCAACCAAAAAAAGAAACTTGGCAAAGTCCAATAGGACGGAGGAAGTAATAAGGTGACAACTCTGGTACCCATTTAAAATATGAGGTACCGTAGCTATCATTCACTTCATTGGTCCAAATCATTATATCATTTTTATTTTGATTTAAATAATTCAACTGCAACATTCTGATTGATCCATGTGGACAAAGGTATGGTACTTATGGGTACCATAGAATCAACCATATAATAAAGCAATCCCTTGAAGAGCTTTTGAAGAATTTTTTTGACAAAATTTTCCTAATAAATAATGATAAATACACTATGTTGTGTATGGCCTTTTAAATAAAATGTTAAATCATTCAGCCATTTCTCCCTCACTCTTTTATAAGTTATTTATGTTCCTTTTCAAATTATGATTATCGTACAACTGTAAACTAACTCTTTTTAAACAATTATTTTAAGTATAATAATCTTTAATTATATTCATATTTGTATTTTCAATTCTATAAACTTACAGTTTCTCAAAAACAAAATCTATAAACTTACTGCACTCTACAACGTATATCATGGTAACACAAACTAAAATATTTGATATGATAATGAGTCGTTTCTCCATTTTGTATATTTTTCCTTTCTTTTTAATTATTTAAAATACACTTTTCATTTCTTGAAAAAATTAATCATGAACTACTCTTACCGTGCGACGCACGGGTACACATACTAGTTAAACTAAATACGGAGCATGAAGTATTTTGGCATCATGAGCCGTAGCACCGTACGTCTACATGCGTTACGTGTAATGAAACATAATTTAATTAAAATTTATTAATTCAAGACCCGAAAGATAAATGAATTATCAATCAGGGACCTAAAAGATGAAATGTATCAATATAGAACCCGAATGATGGAAAACTATCAATCTAGGACCTAACATTTTATAGGTTTTGATTTATTTAATTTTTTTATTAATTCCATTGCCAATTTTTGATAAACTTTTCTTCACAAAAATTTATTAGTTTAATAAAACTAAATAATATTTAAATTTTTTAAAATAAAATCAAAAATAAAATTCACGACAACTTAGGTTCTTGATTGATAATTCTCAATCATGCAGGTCCGAAATGGATAGTTTTCTATCATTCGGGTCTTATATTGATACATTTCATCTTTCAGGTCCCAGATTGATAATTAATCTATCTTTCGGGTCCTAAATTGATAAAATTCCTAATTTAATTCATTATTTACTCAGTTACGTATGTACATAATACTTGTATATCCGTTAGTGGAGTTTATCTAGTCTCCTAATACGTAGGTATATTAGTTAGCAAAGATTATCTCCATGAGCTGTATTTATACCTATCATTGTACATCGTAATTACTCAATTCAATATACTCTATTTCCATAGTTGTTCATGGTATCAGAGCCAGACTCTAAAGAGTCAATTTTTTTTTCCGATCTATTCTTTGTTTCACGATGACAATTACCGCCACCACTGCACCCAAGTCATCTCCCTCACTGCCACCAACCATTTCCCAATCAAACTTACTTCGTCCAATTTTTCCGTCTGGAAATGTCAGGTACATTCCGCTCTTGTTGGCCTCGGCCTTGAAGGCTACGTCGACGGCACACTCACTGCTCCGGCCAAATATCTAGATGATGCCAAAACCTAGCTCAATCCTTGCTATGCCATTTGGTATCAGCAAGATCGCACCATCATCAGTGCTCTCATCGGAAGTTGCTCCGACACTATTCAGCCACTCATCTCGTCGGCTGCTACGACTAAAAATGCGTGGGATAAGCTGGTTCTCACATACGCTAACACATCTCGCGGCCGCATCATATCTCTCAAGACCTCCCTTGCTCGGACCAAACGGGGTAGCAGATCCGTCACCGAATACCTCACTGAAATGTATGCCATAGCCGAGGATCTGGCTCTTGCTCAAAGTCCAATATCGAATGACGATCTGGTTGTTCATATTCTCAATGGTCTGGGCCCAGAATACAGTGACCTTCTCTCTGCCATTCGGGTCCGTGAGACACCTTTTCCTTTGTCACAACTCCAAGAGTTATTATTGGAAAAGGAAAAAGGTATTCAAGAGGCAGCAAGTGCAAATCAATTAATTGTCCCAACTGCTCATGCTACCAACGTGGTGTCCCAATCACATGAACGTCGCTCATCTCAACACTATGAGAAACGTGGAGGGCAAGGACGTCGTGGACGTGGCGGCCACTTTGGTCATCCGCCCAGATCTTCTACGTCCCAAGTTATTTGCCGGTTTTGTTCCATTCCGGGTCATGAAGTCCAACAGTGCCGTAAGCTGCAATGATTTCTCCGGGAAAATCATATCTCTCTCCCTATGCCATCATCACAACCTGTGGTTAATACTACGTCGGTCAATTCTGTTGGGCCGCGGGTATGCGGTGCCAACAACAGCCAGCCTGCCGGTGCAATCGAACCGCGTGGCGCTTCGCATGTGCTATAAAGGGGGAGGAGCGTGCTACACTATCAGCGATTGCTTTTAGTGTAGCGGTAAGCGCAACGATCCACAAGTGGTATCAGAGCCAAGGTCACAGGTTCGACCCCCGGCAACAGCATGTTGCGCAGTTGTAGGCTGGCCGGTGCTGGGGGGGGATTGTTGGGCCGCGGGTATGCGGTGCCAACAACAGCCAGCCTGCCGGTGAAATCGAACCGCGTGGCGCTTCGCATGTGCTATAAAGGGGGAGGAGCGTGCTACATTATCAGCGATTGCTTTTAGTGTAGCGGTAAGCGCAACGATCCACAAATTCTTTTGCGGGCGGACAACCGTGGTTGTTTGATACTGGAGCGTCACATCATGTAACATCGGCAGCCACCTCACTCTCGTCCTATACTGAATATGGAGTCCCTGGTGAGGTCCGTCTTGGTGATGGTAAGGCGCTGTCAATCACTCATACCGGTTCCACTACCTTATCTACCAATTCTCGACCTTTAACACTTTCTAATATTTTATGTGTTCCTCGTATCCAGAAAAATCTTGTGTCTATTTCCAAATTGTGTAAAACTAACGATGTTTCTGTTGAATTTTTTTCCTCTCATTTTATTGTTAAGGATCGGATCATGGGGGCGCCACTCATGCAAGGATTGAACCATAACGATGTTTATTATGCACCGTCCCGGAGTCAGCCTCAAGTCAACGTTTCTCAAGTTTCTATTCGGTCTCAATGACATCATACCCTTGGTCACCCGTCTAGTCGTATATTTGAGTCATTAGTTCGCCAAAATAAAAGTGTCATACCATGTAATAATTTTAGTGATTCTCATTGCATGTCATGCTCAGTCAATAAAAGTACCAAATTACCGTTTTTCAGTACATCTATGAATGCAACGAGTCCACTAGAATTAATATACACGTATGTGTGGAGTACAACTCATGTGTCAATTACCGGGTGTCGCTATTATGTTATCTTTGTGGATTATTACACTCGTTACATTTGGTTTTATCCACTTAAACAAAAGTCAGATGTCACTACAATTTTTCCGCAATTTCATCGTCTTGTGGAAAATTATTTCAATAAAGAGCACGCCATGCTCGATAAAATTTCTGGTTTAGTACTATCGTATACAGTTTGAGACTAGATGGGAAACTGACTAGTTCCGTTTGTTAATGGATTTGGAAACTTAACTAAGTTGTGCACATTCTGTTTATGTTAGGGTTCTTTTCCGTTTGTTAAAGGATTTGGAAAGTTTTAGCTTCTTAAATTCTAAATTTTCTCTAATAATTCTCTCTATAGAATTCCACTTCATATACTGCCTCCATATACGTCATATTGAGTTACCTGATCATTCAAACCTGTCTAGGTACGTCGAGACATCAAATCTTTTGAGGCTCTTGTTAATTCTTTCATAATATAACGTGATGTTCTTACTTCGCACGTGTATGTACTAGCTATAATCATCTTGCTTCTTTATTTTTTTCTTGTATAAAAAAGAATTGTAGAACTGTTAAGTTTCATGCATGCAATCGTTAAGTTTAATTAGATTTGTGGGTAGAATTGTATACCCTAACGCTATGAGAAAACTAGTATCTTTTGCAATTTAACAATTACTCCGTAACAATTGAGTTCGGGTTCCAACATTCCCATCAATGTAGGCCGAACAACCTCAAAATTTATATGCTAGTTTGAATCTTGATCGAACTTAATTTGACAAGTGTAAATTCATATTTACTACGTACATCATATCATAGCTGATTAAGGTGATAATTTGATATCTAGAGTCCATAGAAACACTTGTGCAATAACTTAAGCAAATTTAGAGTCAGTTTGATTTTTTTCCAATTCAATTAAGTCTTGTCTGGATTAAAGTCTTTAAGAAGGCTATTTATTTTATGTGCAGATCAATGAACAATGTTATTTCGTAGCATACATTTAATCCGGGGTCTTTTCTTAAAACACGGGAATTGCTTGCATGTAGTGCCAAATAACGGGACTTATTCTAGGTTTTCCAAAATTATTCGGAAGTCACCTTTCCGACTAAATGAGCGTTTATCAAAAAATTCCAAAAGAATGCTTCTTAGTCGGAACTCCCAGTTCCGAATGGGCGAATCCACTACTTTTCTGTGAGTAGGCTTTTGATTTTTAATTCAAAGAGGACTTTTAATTATCTTTACCAATTTCATACCTCATATATTAATTATTACATATTACATGGGGAGATGTTAAACACGTGGACTAGTTGGAGCCTTATTATTAATTTTAATCTACAAATCATAATAATTAACATTTTTATATATCACATGATTTATGTTAAAAAAATATAAAATGAAATTATTTTTCATGATCTTTCTTATAACATCAATATTAGTTATGTAATTTTTAAATAAAATTATTACATGTCTATATTAACCGTTACTCTCTCCACTCCGTTGAGGTTGTCTCGCCTTTCTCTTTTGGGGTGTCCCACTAAGATCGTTAATTTGATAAAAATTTGTGTACTTTTAAATTATTCTTACCTTATTCTAAGTTTATCGAGTCAATATCAATTCAACTATATACACTCACTTTTATTAATAATCCCACCGTCTTCTCATGTCTCAATGTTAGTTGGATGGAGGTAGTACTAGATTATACAAAAACAAATGATTGAAGAGCAATAAAAAAAGATAGCAAAAAATGGAAGCAGCTATATATGTATTTTGTATTTTTGTTCCCAAATATGAGTTATTTTGTTCTATTAAAGAATAAATCTTTACGAATTATAAGTGAAAGAATTATAGTTACTTGATAAAAATCTTACTGTTTGATTTAGTTCTGTTTAGAATAACAACTTATTGTGACTATTTATCATATAAAAAAATAAAGAAATTCTATCTGATTAATATATGCACTAAATTTCAATTTTTGTTTTTAAACCTTATACTCCCTCCGTCCCGAAAACAACTTCCCGGTTGGACTTTCACACACTTTTAGGAAATAAATTTTACTTTACTGTAGAATGCACTGTTTAAACACTGTTTGACACTGTTTAAACACTGTTTGGCACTGTTTAAACACTGTTTGGCACTGTTTATCACTTTTTTGATGTAGATAATTTGCCAAATAAGGAAAGTATTGAAGTGTGAAGTTAATTTTGGGACATCCATTTAAGGAAAGTGGGAAGTTGTTTTCGGGACGGAGGGAGTATATACAATACTGGTGTCATATGGAAGCTCGTAAAAAGTTATGAATATTGATATATTTTTTTATAAAAGTTGGAATATAAATGCAAAAGTTACAACAATTTAAGGAAAATTGATACGTATTTATTATTTATATGGGTCCACTTATTTCTCTCTCACCATGTAGCAGGCTACCCTTTGGGAATGGGATTTACAAAATGGTGACAACTCCGGTACCCATTTTAAAAATGGGGTACCGTATCTATCATGCATTCGATTGGTCCAAATCATTATATGCGTTTTAATTTAGATTTAAATAATTCAACTGCATCATTCTTATTGGTTCATTTGGACAAAGGTACGGTACATTTGGGTACCATAGAATCTACCTTACAAAATCCCCGTGTTTTCATACAAGAAAACACACTCCCGTGTTTTTGCATGACATTTGCAAAAGTCCCGTATTCTTGGGAATTCCTCTTTAATCCGATCCCTAATCGATTTAAAAAATTGGCCGAATATACGTCTTAGCAGGTGTTGTATGTAATAATACAAACTTCTATATACATCGTATATGCATGCAGTTTAATGATTAAATTGGTTTTTTATAAATAGATAAACCGAGGTTTCATGGTTATTAAAAATGACTTAATAATTATTGAAGGATTAATTAAGTCTTTATTCTTATTAAGTATGGAGTCTGGACATCAAGTCCTAAGTAAACAGTTTCCTAATGTTACTAGCTAGATCCAGAATCCATAACTAATGACTCATAATAACTCATAACGATCCTCGTGGGTATTTGCAGGAGATGAGTTCCAAGCCTAGTAATAACAGTTCTCTTCATATTCAAGAAGAGCACAGGACATTAATGGACTCTTCTTCAACTTGTACAGTTTTTTTCCCAAGTGATATAATTTTCGAAATTCTCACATGGCTTCCTGCTAAACAATTAGCACAATTCAAATGTGTTTCAAAATTCTTTTGTTCTGTAATAGCTGAGCCACTCTTTGTGAAAGTCCACCACGACCGATCCTCAACCCGCCCCGATGGAACTCAAATCCTCATATCTATTTCTGATTCCTCCTTTCATAAACGTCACCGCTTCTACACCGTAAATGACACCGGAGAAGACAAAGCATTGCTCCAAGTCCATTATTTGGAAGCACGACATTTTAAAAATCTGAATGCTTATGGACAAAGGAATGCTACTAATGGCTTGATTTGTGTATTCGACCAGCAAGAAGACGTCGTGATTTGCAACCCTACTACAAGGTACGTATTATATAGTGTATTACCTAGCTACAAGTATAAGGATGTTTTCTTTTGGACTGTTTTCAGTCCCAGACCAGACCAGACCAGACTTAAACAGACCAGACCAGACCAGACCAGACTTAAACAGACCAGACCAGACCAGACTTCCGTAGTTATAAAATACACAGAGACCAGACGTTTACCAGACCAGTTCAGACCAGACCAGACCAAACTTAAACAGACCAGACCAGACCAGACTAGACTTAAACAGACCAAACCAGACCAGCAAATTTCAGTCCAAAAGAAGACATCCTAAGTATAAGTGAGAAGCTTAAGTTACGAGTACTATCTATTTCTTTATCATATTGTTGTTCTCTATTTGAAGTGACTAACATTGTGATTCCTTCTTCTGTGGTATTCTAAATTAAACAAGGCAACAAATTTCCTTGCAAAGAGATGTGGTGAGCCGAGGTCAGACAGGCACTAGTTACATATTGGGTTTTGATCCGATTTCGAAAAGCTACAAGGTTTTGAAGTTGCAAGATTTTTGGGGTAGCAATGAATACAAGAGGCAATATTGTGTGTTAACTCTCGGAGTTGATAAATCATGGAGGGAGATCAACAATTATTTACTTGGGTACCCGGATGCGAGTGTTCACATAGGCGGTATTATCTACTTGATAAGCTCGATATTTAGAAAAGAAATTGTTACTTTCAACGTTGGAGATGAGAATATTGGGTTGGTACCATTCCCGGGTGTTGAGCTGAAAAAATGTAATATCTCAAATTTTTGGAGATTGTCATGGATGGAAATTGAAGGTCGACTTGCCGTCGTTCATATAAAAAGGAACAACTTTGTAGTAGGACGAGAAATGCGTATTTTGACTTTGGAGAAATCGATGAAATGGGAGAAACAAGTGATTTCTCTTCCATGGGAGGAGAGTTTAATAACTAAAGATTCTATGGACATTTTCTCCACAAGTACTAATTTAGGGGAAATACTGTTGTTACTTGATGCGAAAGGATCTGTTGAAGTTTTACTTTATTCATTTAGAAAACATGTGTGGAGAAAGATTGAAGTCTACGGGCCTGATGATTATATATATCATCATATGAGGTCTTCAAAGAATGTGGTGGATGTCATAGAGGAGAATTTGTACTTTTTCACACATAATGATTGATTAGTTATTTTTTTTTTTGGTTTAATGTTGGTTGAAAAGTTGTAGCACGCAAGGTGTGCACGTGTATTCATACATTTTATGAATTTCTCTCAACTTTAGACATGTTTTGTATTTTCCGTTCAAGATTTAGTTTTGACTTAAAATCAAATGTCGAATGAAAGTGAAAAGTTTGGTTCGGTTAAGTTTTGTCAACCTAAAATTTTGAAAGAGATGGTTTGTTTAGTTTGGTTTATTTGGGTTCACTTTGGTGTTTTTGTTTTTGTTTTTTTGGATGTGGTGTTTTTGATTTTTGTGAAATTTTTGTTTTGATTAAAAAAATATAAAATATTAATTGAAAAACCAAAACAAAAAATAAATACATCAAATAATAAATACAAAACAAATTAAAAAAGTGAGAAGAAGCAAATGCACTTCATATTTATAAAAGTGTAGCCTTGAATCAAACTTATTATTTCTGGTTTAATTAACTATGATCATCAGATTGGTTCTTTTACTTCTGTTTTCTGCATTGTATGATATTTCCGTTTACTTTATTTTCCTTGTTTTCTATTTCTATTTCCAGGCTTCCAGCTATATATTTTTATATGTTTTCCACTTCTGTGCATTGTTTTCTAGTTTTATTATTCTCTATTTTTTAATAATTTGGAAATCATTTTTTTCTAACGCATATGTCCAATATCATACGGTGGTCTCATGATGACGATGATGATTAGCAGCGCCAGTGGCGATTCTTGCCCCTGGTGCTAAGCATTAAAAATTGTTTCTCAACTTTACGTAAAAAGAGAGATAAAGGAAAACAGTTTTGTATTAAGAAATTTAAAAAGTGGAAGTACAATGTTTTCTGTATTTTGAATTTGAAAAATAGAGTGATGGAGTATATGGCCCAGGAAACCCCGACCCATAGATTCCTACTTCTCCTACACAAGTCCATTGAGCCCAGAGAACAACTCAGGCCCAAATGCAACGGCCCAAGCCTCAAAGTAGCCCAGAATACACACTGGGGTACCTTCGGCCTCCTTGGCCGAAGGCTCCAGAACTCACATGATAGCTTTTTTAGGCATACGAAGCTACTGGGAGAAAGCGGCGGAAAACAGGAGCCTTCGGCATCATCAAGCCCTCGTCATCAGAAAAGCCTTCGGCTGAACCAAGCCTTCGGCCACACAGGGGTCCTTGGTCACATGGAGCCCTCGGCTACACAAGAAGCCTTTGGCCAAACGTGCTCAATCATCGAAGATTCCTTTTGGAGACAGCCAACCACCGCATTTAATGCCACGTCACATCCGCCAACCGCATTCAATGCGGTGAACGTACCACTGTCGGTGCCACCCGACTGATGTGACCCCTCGGCCGTTGGATTACTGACACGTGTACTCTCATCGCATTTATTACTGCTATAAATAGCAGCCCGTTTTCTCCTTGTAAACGATCCAGATCCCAACTCCACACGCTGAGTTCATTTAATAAAATCGACTCTCTCTCCTCCTATTTTGCTCTGACTTCTCTCTAGTTGTTCCCGCAATAACCCCTCGGATAGGATACCCCCGGGTAGACTGTCCATCATAGAGAAAACTAGAAACAAAATTGTCAATTTGATTCTCGTACTATCACGAAAACGTTATTACCTGCCATGTCAGCATGTCAAATAATGCTGACGTGGTGTACACCTGCCTGGCAACTCATTCAGCAGTGACAATCTAGTCGGTAGCGATTTGCTGGGTCGGGTTTTTACAAAACCCGAAATCACACATAAAGTCTCGAGTTATGAAAATTAGGGACCAGAACAAATTAAAGCCCATTATATTCGGTCTGAGCTGGTTAAAGCCCTAATGTGTACTCATCTCATTTTTCTTATGCCCTATAAATAATTTACCTCTTTTTTTATACCCGGAAGGCAAACCACCGCATCCAGTGAGGCAAATGTCAGAGAACATTTGCCAAAATTTTATTAATAATCAAGAAAAACCCTATAAATAATTTACCTCCAATTAATATGTATACCTTTATAAATCTTTGAAAACGGAAAACTTCTCAAAAAAAACATTTGTGCAACAACGGGTGAATTAGTGGCAAAGGGTTTTACTAGAAGTGAGGATGTTAACAGGGATTAGTGCGGGACAGAAGATATTAATTCTCAAACATCCCTTAATATCCTCAAATGTTAGCTTGCCATTTCTTTTCCAGTTGAGATAATACCGGATCGTGACTTCTAATGTCATGCAAATAAAAGTTAAAGAAGCTCGTTGATGCAGGTTGGTTTTTGCTTGAAAAATATGTTTTTAGTCATGGTCAACTCTGTGACTGTGTCAAGAGTAGGAACCAATTGCCAAGCGTAAAAGACTAACATTACAAACGATGATGACAGAGGAACGAACAGTGAAACAAAAAATGTATTGGATATGATAAAGAAGTGTTTTATAAATTTAGCATGTGACATATTTAGTGTGTCTTCAAATTATATTTATATTGTGTACTGCTTATTATTTTGTGGGACTGTAAATATTTGTACTACTTTGCAATCATTGGTATGATACCCTACCGAATTACTTCGGTATGGTATCAGTATATATTTTGGAAATAAGTGGTATACCGGTATACCGTCATACCGTAATTCCAAGCCAATAATTTCCTTACAATTATAAAAAAAAACTAGAAACACAACACCAATTCAAGGGTAAATGACTTTATATCCATGTTTCTTGAATTATTTGTACTTTTTGTTGGAGATCAGTGTTATTTTAATTATATTTATGTTGTTTAAATTATTTTAGCAAAATGTGTTGTTATCTTCATATATCGTGTGTTGAAATATCTATACATATTTATAATATTTTTTGTTCAAAGTTGAATAGAACACAAATAGGTTATTTCATTGGTATTTTATAATTAATTTCATTAATGATTTTAGCATATCACTGTTAACACTGATTTTCTTTATTTCATTTGACATATAATAATTTGTTGTATTAAATCATGATAATTTACCGATACCGTACCTTACCGTACCGAAATTTCGGTATACCGAAACAAGGTATACCGAAATTTCGGTATGGTAACGGTATGTATTTTTGCATACCGAAAGTTTACGGTATGGTAAAGGTATGCGACAAAATATTCGGTATACCGTACCGAACCACCCCTACATGTACCTATACCTCCCGAGGGAAGATAGAATAATCCATCTTTTGCGGTGTCCTTGAGGGAGAATGGAAAAGCCCTCAATTTAATTTGCTTCTCGGTAACTCCGTTGGAGAACATGCTTGTGCAAACAACATGAAATTCCGAGAGATGTTTATTAGGATCCTCCCCTCTTAAGCCATGGAAGGAAGGAAGTAGATGAATGAGCCCAGATTTAAGCTCAAATGCATTACCTTCGCTGAGTGTAGGGAAGGTAATACATAACGGTTGTTGATTCATGTTCGGAGCTGTGAGCTCCCTCAAAGTTCTTGTTTTATTAGCCATGTGGGATGGCTCTTAAGATTCGCTAGAACTTGAACTAGCACTTGATGATTCTCCCGAGTCGGAGCTTGAGAATTTATTTTTCAACCGCTCGAGAGTTTGTTCTATTTCGGAGTTTGATTTGTAGGTGATTTCGTTCAGTGAACGATATTTAACCATATACTACAAAGCTCAGAAGAAATAGAAATCTTTATACTTGGATCATATATATATATATATTTTTGTTTATTTAATTTTTTTTGTTTTTCTTGAATTGAAAGAAAAAGAAAAATGATTGCCTTTCCCCGGCAACGGCGCCAAATTTGACGTGCACTTTGTCGTGGTGTGCACTCAAAGTAAATTATCAATACAACGATTATATGTAGTATAACGAAGTAAGGTTCGTATCCCCAGGGAAAAGAATACTTCTCTTTTTATAGAACTAGTAACAAATAGGGGATTTAAAGTTTGATTTGATTTAATTAATTTAACACGAAGATGAACGACTTATGTAGTTTAATTAATGAGAAGAAGATTTGGCTTTGCTTTTATCCACTTAATGAAATCTTCGTCGATCCCGGTTATATCTTTAACCTTCCTCTCGAATACGCAATCGAGGAGTATATCCAATTCATCGAGGGTAGTTATTAATAACGAGATGCGTTCATTAATAAAACTTACTACCGAGTCAATATAGAACACGCGTCGTATATTAACCAGATAATAGCAATAAAATCAAGATGAAAACGATTAAGATTGATAACCTCAACACAAAAGGTTTATTGGTTTAATCAATATAATAAGTATAATCGAAGAAAGCCTAAAAAAACTGTTACGTCACGAATAATATATGTTCTGAATTTAGGTTGTTTTCACTTTGACAGACTTTAGTTTCATGCCATATACTACGTAATATTTAAACACCCAATTCAAACCAGATCAATTCAAATCAAACCAGCAATTTTCAATGTAGCTGAAAACATTCTTACTGAAATATTGTAGTCTACCTATTTATTTATTTTTTTGAGAATAAAAGGGCGGTTTTTTATATTAAAATCGAGCAACTTTACAAGACAATATCCAGACAGCTATGACAGATCCGATCGTCAGCCCTAGGAATAGACATAGAATCAGCTACCTCGTAAAAAGCAACCTGATTCGCTAGACACAAAACAGACAATTTTAAACATAAAACAATCGGATCCGAAACATCACCGATCAAGCGTACTCCAAAAATCTAAACTAAATCTACTAAAAAATAAATACAAGTACTACTGAAGGAAAAATAAAATCGAAGTAAAGTCTTTCCATAATATACTCTTCCTGGCATGGAGGTGGTTCTGGAGGAGGACGGGCTCTATGAATGTCTACACACTCCAAAAGAAGACAAGCAGAAACCCTTGACCTGACGAAGCTGGCAAATACAACAAAACAACTCCCCACATTGAGAGAGACAAACCACCCCGGAGCGCCAGTGCCCGGGAAAGAACCGTTACAAAACAAAACAAACACAACCAGAAAAAAAAGAAGACTCCAGTTGGGTATATCCCTACCAAGAATCTCCAAGTTGATATCAAAACATCCTCCAACCTTCACGATTAGCCCTTCCTCTTCCTTGGACCTTGCTTCCGATCGGCAAAGCAATCTCACCGCCCTAAGAATCAATTGATTGACACACAGTTTCTAGGCTTAGCCTAGGGTTTGAGGTGTGCAGCCTCCGTGGTGCCTATCGTCTA